ACATGCAAACCCTATGGGGTAGTAGTTTTTGAGCGCCCATTTGGCCTAATGCTACCAACTGTTACTGGCTACCCCTGGTAGAGAGTATCAACATAGTACCAATATGTTAAATAGTTTTAAATACTTTTTCGCGAATTGTGCACTTCTGGCACCAGTTTTAAAAAGAAAATGAAAAATAATAATGTCAAAATGAAAAACAACGATATCTTCATATTTCACGAAGGTGGCCCTTTTCCTTTAAAGGAAATAGTTCACTTTTTAACATGGGTTTTGAACTGGAATAGCAGTTCCGTAGCTTGGGCTGAGACGAGCATAAATCAGGAGCTTTTACAGCCCAACGATCACCCTAGGCAAAGATATTCTATTTCTCGTCCCGAAAAAGGTGTCTTGCGTTGAGGATGTGTGCCTTGCATATATTTCCATCCAGTATGAAAAGAGCATGGGTCCCGAAAATTATTCAGAAACTAGAGAAATTATCTACGAGAACTCTAGAGAAATTCTCGTTCTGATCAATTAGGACATTCAGGGGAACATTATCAGATCGAGCAGTTCGCCCAAATGCCGGTGGCTGCGATAATTTCTCTGTTTCTGAAGAATTTTCGGGACCCATGCTCTTTTCATACTGGATCGCTTGTGCCTTACAGAAACTGAAAAGTTCTTCCTATATCAAAAGATAGAAAAAAATCTTTTGTTATAAAAAGGTTTTATTTTCTTTGCTGATTATTTTGAACATAAAAAATAATAAATCGTTGCAAAAAAAAAAATAATTTCGTGAAAGTGAACTATTTCCTTTAAGGGGACGTCCCTCAAATTCCTTCCTTGACTTGAGGGGACGCGTCCCCCTGTCCCTTGCTTCCGACAACCATTTCTACAGCCTCTGAGCGTTTAGAGCGTATTTGTTGGTCTAATTTTCATTGTGGTGGCGTTCAAACTGTAGTAGCCTTTCCAGGCCCACCACGAGACGGTTGTATAGCTTGTTGATCCGGGAATGTACCTTCCGTTCAGGTTGGAGTCGCAGCAGGCATAATACCACCAGGCTCCTTGGTCCACGCCCGAGCAGTTACGAGCGTCATCGATGTCATTATCTCTGTCATAAGTTGAGAACATCATACCGTTGTGAGGGCCGAGACTGTCCCCAGCGTCTCCGGCGTAGTCGGTAAGATCGATTCGGTAGTTGTCGGCCTCGGACGCGATGGTGAACTTCCGGTAGGTGGCGTACCTACCTCGTCTGTTCGTCCCAATCCCAGAGGTCGACCCGTAGCTCGTAAACGCGGTCCAGTTGGGAGGTCAGCTGCCAGAGGTAGTGAAGCCCCCACCAGAACTCGCCAACGAAAATTCCCAGACCCCACTTGTAGGTCTCCCAGTTCTGGAAGAAGTCTTGCCTGGGTGACATATCGGTTCTTTTTTGGATGACAGTCCATCCCTTGCCATCGTCCATGTCACAGAAGGCCGGGGTCAGAGTCAAGCGATCAGGTTTGATTAGATAAGCCCCGCTGGGAGATCCTAAGGGCAGGTCACTGCAGTCGCGCACAATCGTATCGTCCTGCGGCGCACCGTTGTTGTCAGAGGTCAGCCCAGAGGTCAGCCCAGAGGTCAGCCCAGAGGTCAGCCCAGAGGTCAGCCCAGAGCTCAGCTCAGCGGCAGAGCCAGCGGCGTATGCAGGACGCAGACCACCTCTCGGAGACGCGGCGGCAGCTTCATAGTGTTGCAGAAGGAAGTTTTCGGTGCTCTGAGAGGTGAGTCGTCTCTTCTGGAGGTGTGCCCGGTGCGGCCCGTTTTTTACCGCCTCACATATGGGCTGGTTCACATCCACTCACGTCATACCGTGCACGACAGTAACTGTCACAGCATTATCTGTCCGCCATGAGATGCACAGGGATGCAGCACTGTGAAATTCAACAGATGTGAAGCCCTATCAGTGACGACCGCACCAAAATTCGTGAAAGTAAAGCGAAATCACGTTGCAGCGGGAGTGGTCTCAGAAATTGTAAGACGCAATATTTCAAGTACGAGTAATACCAAATGTGCAATAGTAATAATTGTACGCGTAATATCTCGTATTGATCCCTTCAGTGACGCCGTGGGTAGATGGTGTAGTGACAGGTTAGTAGTTAGGTACACACACAAAATACGAACCCCTGTCTCTCTCTCTCTCACTCTCTCTCTCTCCCTCCCTCCCTCTCTCTCTCTAACCTAACTCTAACCTAACCTAACCTAACATAACCTCTCTGTCTGTCTGTCTGTCTGTCTGTCTGTCTGTCTGTCTGTCTGTCTGTCTGTCTGTCTGTCTGCTATCTGTCTGTCTGTCTGTCTGTCTGTCTGTCTGTCTGTCTCTCTATCTCTCTGTCTCTGTCTCTCTCTGTCTCTCTGCCTCTCTCTCTCTCTCTCTCTCTCTCTCTCTCTCTCTCTCTCTCTCTCTCTCTCTCTCTCTCGCTCTCGCTCACCCACCCACCTAGTCGAATTGGGATAAGAGAAGAGACCGAGGCCATGGTCAGGTGACAGTTCAGATGTTGAACGACAAACTTAAAGGGACCCTCCCACCTTCAAAAAAGTTTATGAATTGGCATGAAAGTGATGTCGCTCGGTTCAGAAAGAGCGAAAACGAATATCTACCAAATTTCACCGAAAAATATTCACCGGTTTTCAAGATATTAGACTTTTACTTTTGTTTACTTTTTTTGGGATCTCCGCTGTTTCTAGCGACTTTATTTTAGAAGTGCGGCGTTTGCGGCAGATTTTGCGCGCAAATAGCATATACCACCACGTGCTACAAAACGTTTTAGTCAAACATTTAAAAATCGTTAGATATTTGCGCTGACGTCACACATTCAGAGGGGTATTCCTAAGCATTAGCCCCTCTGAATCAAAATGCTGCAATTTTGAAATTTAATATTTCCGATTTAAGGCATTTCTCGATGTTGTGAGTGCCGAAACCGGTAATTGTGAGCCAGGGATCCCATTTTGGCTATCTCAACTCAAATCTTATGTTAAGGTGGGAGGGTCCCTTTAATGGCTGAAAATATCCGCCATGTAGCTTCCAGGCACTCCAGCTGGTAATGTCACACGCGGTGGCATTTCAATCCTCTCAAACCAATGCTTGAGCAATACGGTGTGCCGTGCTTCTGACAGTGAGGTTATGGTGAAACGTCCACCTCTCTCATCCGCAATATAGAACGACCGGCCATGTCGCAACCAGCATTTAACGATAAATGATTGGCTATCGCGCGACATGCATCATGCATAGCTTGATCATTTGCATACATTTGCACAAGCCACAAATCGTTTACGATGTGCAGTCTAGAAAAAGATCAAACGATAATCTTATCGGACCTATCCGATTATGTTTGAAGGACAGTGGCTACTGGCTAGGCTGGCGCCATTCGCCCACCGCCGAGAACTCAGAAGTTAACCACACTCCATCTCAATACTTTGACGGACGACAAGTGACCGGCTCGGTCGTACCGGCATGTGGTTATAACTGGTGAGTCCGATAAATTTGGACTGGCTAGTGGCCAGTGGCCATCGAAGTCGAAATGGTCGGTACTGACTGGCTAGTGGTTATAACAGGGCACTAGAAATTAGAATTACATGCTGTCTGGACTTCCAAAATAGCTCTCGAAAGCAGTGGAATGGAACTGAAATGGGCGAGAGGCGAGGACCTGCAGCCGATGAATTGAAATTCATCAGAGGCTGAAGGCACAATTTATACCCATCCACGCTGAAATTCTAAACCGAGCACGCTGGGGAGAAAATCTATGGCAGACGATCGAGTTAATTCGTAATGTAGTGCCATTTCATTTTATCCATCAGCTTGGGATTGTCCATCGAACACCTTCTTTCATTGTTCCTGCGTTCTCGTTCCGCCGTCTAATCGACCTCAGGAGCAGGCTGTTGTATCGCGAGGCTGACGGCGAAACTGAAAGACGAGTGGAGTCCGGCGTCTCACTTTCATTCTGTTTTCAGTTTGTCCCTTTTCTTAACGTTTCGTATTTCTTCTGTATTCCAGCCCTTTTCCTGCGCTTTTCTCCTTGTTCAGGTTCCTTTGAGATGCACGGTTGTGACCCGCCGGTCTCCCGAGCCTATTTTCTCTCGTCCTCTCTCTCCCCCTCTCCGCACTGAGAGATCAAGTAACTGGCCAGTGACGTCACGACATACCGCCCTCTCGGATAATACCGGCGGATCACGGTCAGATCACGGTCTGACCGCAGTCGCCACAGGTCGGGGTCAGTCAGACGCCCCTGGAGAAATCTGCTCTCCGACCAGCGTATATTGGCACTGACCGAGACCAGGCCGTATGGGACTGGGCGAAACGACCGGGCGGTGCCGGCGAGCCAGACAGGGGAAATGGGCAGACCGCAGAAAGGTAGGATGGTGGGACTAGGAGGGTGGATTGAGCGGCCATGGACTGGGGATGGGATGGAGAGGACACAGGCGTAGACTGAGGCCGATGGTCGGGGTGAGCAGGGTCGGGGACAGGACGAGTATAAGTGGAGGTGAGTTCAGACTTCAGAAGCAGAGACGAAAAGTGAAAAGACGAAATAAAATATGAAATAATAAAGGCTGAAAAAAAGATCATGAATGACTGCCTGTCATAAAGGAAATGTCAAGTAGCCGTATGCTTGCAATAGTGACCTGTCATTGCTTCAGTGGTTCAGCGACGATCGTAGTGGGTTAGGTGAGGAACAAGCCCAGCACACCTAGAGACTGAAAATGACCCTGAAATCCGAAAAGTGGCCCAAATCATGTGCTCCAGTTAAACACAGGTCAGCAACAAACAAACGAAAAGCAAGCGGCTTCCCTACATACAACACCGACCAATTCCAGAGCCTTTCATCCCTTCCAGTTTGTCCAGCCAATAACAGCGGCGGCAGTAGCTGGTCAATGGAACCTCTGTCAGACTGCCCAAGCGAGCCTCTTTCGAGTAGCTACCGCCACCTACCGCCAGCCAGGTGGCGTGACACTCCCATACCCGCCCGGCCCGACGCCAACCAAACACCGGCTATGTTCTGCGTGGGAGATATATTGGATCCTTTTTATAAACGTTCTGACAGCAACTTAGTGCCCGCTGCTCGGACATTGGGCCAGGCCCAAAACGTTCAACAGATTAGAGTCACGTTTTCCACCACCACACCGGGTCGTTGGGTGTCGGGGGCGGCCGGTATAGACCGCGCCCGCCCGGGACACCACCAGACGCATGCGCACCACGCTCCATCCTGCTCAAATTTCTCGCTTTGTACTTGGTCCGAACATGTAAAATCCGCCGGCCACGTGGCCGCCGGCCTGACGCCGCCAATCGCCGAAGCCATTCACAGACATTCCCGATCAGGTATTCCCAGTCTACAATTCCGTGCGGTTGCCACCGCATCCTCCCAGAGAGATTGTATGTACACAGTAGTTCGCGCGCGGCCTAAGGACTTTCCAAGCAAAATTGACTTCAGGACACTCGCCACACAGACCATATTTACGCAGAAAGGCATGGTGGCGCCCGACCGCCGCTTGCAGCGCCCTCCAGCGGGGCGACTGGTGACCAGCCGCGGGAGGCAGAGTGACCGCCACCACACGACGGCTGCGGACGGTCGGGTGCCGCCGCCACTATTCTAGCTAGGCACACGCACACAGGCACACGCGCACACCAACTAACGCACGCAGACAGGAAGGTGAGCGGCCGGCCGGTGGTCGGCGCGCCTACCCCTGCCGGGTATCTGAGCTCGCCGACCGCCGACCCGCCGCAGCGCGCCTGACGAGAGACGCCGCAGTCGCCGGTGGATAGAAATAGGGGAGAGAACAAGATAGAGTGTGGAGCTACGACCGCTAAGCGCGGCGGCGCTTACCTAGAACACCGAGGGGACAGTCACAACTACCGAAGACGCCGCGCGCGCGTCAGCGGCCGCGCAACCGTGAGCGCCGCGCCCCACAGACCTACAACCGGGGTTATATTATACGCCACCGCATACCAAAAATAAGAGACGAGTCACCTCTACCGCCCTGAGGCGCTACCCGAGCGGCGGCGAGCGGCCGCCGGCCGCCGCCGCCCGCGTGGAGGGCCGCGCGCGACGCCCCGCGCGTCCAACACAACATGAAGAACTCTAAAAGCGACAACGGAGAGACGGAGCCGCGTGTCGCCGCCCATACCATCCAGCACACCAGTAACAATAACAAAAGCCAAGACAGCTACAACACCCAGGATGCGCCCAAATGGAGGGTTAGTGCTGGCGCAGGCGCGCGCGCGCGGCCTCCGCCGCTATGTACAGGGTGGTCGCCGCGGTACGGGCCGCCGCTCAGACGTAGTCGGGGTTGCGGCCGTAGCCTGGCCCGGCGCCGGCTGATTGCTTCTGATCGGAGCGCTGCGGCCAGCCAGCGGCAGCGCCGGCCGGCGGCTGGCTGCCCGGCGGCTGCGGCATCGCGCTGCCGCCGCCGCCGCCGCCACCGTCGCCGGCGCCCTGGTTCATCCAGTTGAGGAAGCTGCCGCCGGCCGGTCCGCCGCCCGGCTGGCCGCTGGCTGCCATCGACGGCGGGCCCTGCGCCTGGCTGGCCGGCGCCGGCCCCGCCTGGCTGTAGGCCATCGGTGTGTCGGGCGACTGGCCGGGCAGATTGCTGAGCAGGCCCCAGCCGGCCTGGTTGAGCGCCGCCGCCACCGCCAGCGGGTTAAGACCGAGGTTCATCGGTCCGACGCCCATCTGGGCTGGGTTCGGGCCCTGGCTGTTGGGGTGCTGGTGTCCGCCCTGACCGCCGATACCCAGCGAGGTGCCCAGCGCCGCCAGATTGGGCATCTCTGTGCCGCGACCGCTCTGGTGCTGGCCGCCCCAGCCGCCGTTCATGCCCTGACTGCCGTAGCCGTGCTGCGCCGGTCCGTATCCACCCATTCCCGGGCGGCCGGCGTCACGCGGATGGCCGCGTCCGAACCCATGACGTGCCGCGTGGTCCGTCTTGGGCGCCGCGTTACTGACGTGCACCGACGTGTTCTTGATGATGTGATCCTCTCCGCAGAGACTCTGCGCTATGTCAGGGTCCAGGAAGGTAACAAAAGAGAACGCCCGGAACGGCTTGGGGATGAAGACGTCTGTGACCTCGCCGAACTGGGAGAAGTAGTCGCGCAGATCTTCCTGGGTGATGTCGTCTGAGCAGCGGCCCACGAACACCTTGCAGGGCACCTGGTTCTGTTGTCCCTCCTGCCAGGAAGGACGCGTTAGACTGGGGGCTGTGGTCGTCGCTACAATCCCGACACGGCCGAAGTCGATGTTCGGGTCGGGTGACAGACTCAGGTCGGGAGATGCGTGAGAAAATGACATTGCGAGACATAGTCAGAACGATAACCGTATCCCCACTAGTAGTAGTTACGACGGATTGAGCAACAAAACACGCAGGACAGACGGCGAGCAACCGACAACAGCCAATAGGTGGCAGCTCTGTGGGCCCTACAGAACTGCAAGACACAAAGAGCAGATTTCTTTCAGAAATGGAGACGAACTGATGTTGCGTACATAGTTAACGTTGAAAAGCCAAAATGCGTGGCCCAACCAAACACTACATTTTTGAACATTCATAAAAATCATATGTACCAAAGCACTTGTTCAACGTAAATGAAATGGCAAAAAAGACATGTGAAATGACTCCTAAGGCAATGGCACAGTGAGTGGCATAATCAGCCTAACCCTCGCGGGGACGAGTCCCATATTCCCTCGGGATGACCCCACTTTAAGCCGGTTCGGATCACTCACGCCGCTCCTCGAGTTGGGGATCTTGACGTCGCACCAGCGTCCGTCGATCATATGCCGCTGGCTCAGCACGCGCATCTGAGACTCGAACGTGCCGAAACGGATGAAGCCGAAGCCTTTACTCTGTCCCGACTTGGGGTCCTTCTTCACCTGTGGAGGAAAGATGATAGGCGGTCAATGTCTGACATTCATTGGCGAAGTGAAGACTTTCACGAGGTGGGTTTCAGAAATCGGCTTAGCGTAGACAAAAACGTAAATAATGGAGCAGAAGTTGCACGGCTTCATATGAGCGTACAAAAGTGCTCCCGATGCGTCGTTCCACCTAGTTACGCTATGCGTTTGATGGAATAGGAATGCCAAATATATCTGTGCCATGAACTCAATAGAGTAAAATTTAGGTAAATTAATATGCGGTTATCAAATGACTTGACAAGAAACCACGTCAAATATTCTCAAATATGAATCATTTGACTTTTTCATCCGAACACTGGCCATTTTCAATCTCCAATAAAGCATCACCGACCCGTAAAAATAGCCCAATAGTCCAGGTTCGAACAGTTCCCGCATACTTCAATCCACCTTATGACCTCAGGGGCAACATTCGTGCACCCTGACCCTGGCACACGCCCCGCGCGTTCAGGGACACTATCGACTGTCCTCAATACCGCCGGCGAGCGTCCTCTACCACCCAGACACGTCCTCGACGGCGGCGGCGGCGGCGGCGGTGGCGCGTGTGGGCGGTACCCAAGGTCGCGACGAGGCCGGCCGGCCGCCGATCGATGTTCGCTGGACTCCAGTAAACAGAGCCGGCGGCACCGAGCCGCCGACAGCCCGCCCGGCCGCCCGCTGCCGGGTGGCCAGGTGCCATGGAAGCCACGGCGTGTGAGAGGTCGCCGCGTGGGGACGAGTGGTTGTAGCTCGGCAAATGGACGCTAAGCAGCGGAGTGATGCATGGAAGCCAGAGCGGCGGCCATGTTGCGCATCGTTGGCTTAGATGGCGGCTAATGGAAGGTCGTTTCGCTAAAGTCGTAGCTACAAGGATCTTCTGGATATAGCTATAGGCAAAACAGCACGCAGGAAAGTCATAACGATCGTAAAACGTCAAATAACAAAAAGACGATTATTAGGAAATGATACATTCGAACGGAGTGCTATCCAGTCCCGTAAGTCCCACAAACTCAACCAATGTAATCTCACATATTCCCTTGCCATTACATCAGCCCACACCACCTAACCCGGTTACCAAAACTTGCCCTATCGAGACTCCCAGACAGCGACGGGGGTTCCAGCGCTTCTCCGAACGCCGAATCATCCATATGCAAGCAGCCGACGGCGTCTAAACAGGACATCCCTGCGGAGACGGTGGCTGCCAGCGTCACCGACATCCGACGCCCGTGCGCCCTTCAGGACACCAACACCGAAGTCCGTGGGATTGACAATGATTTCAGATGGTCGTGGCAGCACCCTCAGGCGCCAATTGTGCTCAATCATAGCCATCCGACTATCTGCAGCGCCCTTCAGCAGATTTTAAATGAGCCGAATTGTGTATAGATGTAAATAAACCGCTATGACATATCACGAAACATGCCATGCAACAAAACATTTGCGAGTTCTTTATGTTTTGCTTTGACATAATTATATCCATTGGTTAGTCAGACACCGAAAAGAGAAGATAAGTTCATTGACATCAGCTGTGCTTACAATACCGTTGAACGTTTGGTCATTGAACCGTGGGGCCGACCTTTGGACACAGTGTTGATAACGAGTGTTTGCCTTTGATGGCGACATTACCCATTTGCATCCCATATCTTGCCACGTGTTTATTCAACCAAGAAGGACTACTTGAAGCCAACGACAGTACCGATGAGATAACCAGATAGCTTCGTAGGATGATGAAAACGGAATAAACAAATTAATGATGGGTGATAACCTATCTAAGAACGACGGCCTTACACGCGTTCTCAAGGTAGAATCGTGAGTGATAACGGTCCAAATTTACACCAGCTAAGGAGCAGTGTATGTTTGTGATGCTGACGCCTTGATGAGCATAACGACACTGACGCAGCGAGCAGCCTGCGTCCAGACTCCTGAGCAACCACAGGCCCGAAAGTTGGAACAAAGCAGAGCTCCTGAGTAAATGGTAAACGTTACAAAATTAATCTAACAGCACTTTGACGATGAACGATTTAATGAAACTCAGTGCTATACTCAAACTTGCAATCCTGTGATATTTTACAGCCAGACCGAACTCCACCCCATCTCTTTTTGCCACCAGATACGTACCTGTGCCATGAGGACCTCTCCAAACGACTCGAAGTACTCGCGCAGCTCCTGTTCGGTGGTTTTCCACGGCAGACCGAGCACGATCAGGTCGGAGCACTTCTGTTTGAGCTCCAGCCGCTTCGTCTTGGCCAGGCTGGCCTCCAGCTGGTCATCGTTTTTGCGTTTGTTCTCTGCGAAGGCGTCGAACGGGGCCGTGAGGGGAGGGAGCGCGCGCGGCGCGGGCCCGCCGGTCGCATGCAGGGCGCTCGCCGACGCCGGCCGCACCCACCACCCGCACATCAGACAGTCTCTCTCGCACGGATACACCTCTCTCGCGGGCTCTCAGAACCTCGGGCAGACGCGCGGCCGGTGAAGCGCAGGACCAGGCGTGTAAGGAGGGCAGCTACAACATATGTTAAACGAGCATCCATCGCCCATTGCTACAGCAGCGGAAAGGGCTGAACCACGTAAGGACATTGCGAGATAAGAGTTAGCCACGCCTGGTCGACACACAATTAGGACAGACAACTGGCATCCACGACCAGACCAAACCAAAAGGTAGCCATTTGCAAGCCCACACACCTAGCAGACATATGCCAGTGTACAAAGATGAAGTGCAATTGCATGAACTGAAAGCAATCGCCTCATTTCTATATATACGAGACCAATTGTGAACTGCATTCTGGCAAATGCCTGTCGCAAACACCCCCGCGACTCTCTCTTTCTCTCTCGTCCAGGCAGTCGTGTTAGCCACACATCTCACTCTCACTGTGCGCCAGCTTCCGCTCTGTCTCGTTCTCTCTCGACCCACTCGACATTCGCTCAGCGCACCGGCCAGCCACCTGCAGCGCTCCACCGCACAAGGGCCCAAATTCCAATAGAAAAAGAAAAACACCGCAAAAGGGCCCCAGTCGCGCGGACAGGCAACACAAGGGCGGAAATAAGGAGTGTATGGTACAAAAAGATTTAAGCAGCTACAGAGAATACAGAGATAAATGGCATGCAAAAATTGAAGGTAAGTGTAATAGAGGACATAATATGTTACATTGGATACCCACACTTCAAGTTATATATATATATATATATATATATATAACATATATGCAAAATGCATTTGTTTTAAGTGAAAGTAGTATTCAAAATTAGTAAAACCAGACACAAAAGCTAACAATTCAACATGCAAAACTGAATGAAAGTAAGATGGTAATTAACTGTGCCACATGTATCAAGTTAATGTAATGATGCTGATTGAAAACTTCTACCATTTACTAGTTAAATAATTTTGTTTATTACATGGAAAAAAATATACTAAATTCAATGCAAAAATGAGAGCAGAAAGATTAAACTAAAGCAAAGCGGCGAGTATGGATCACTGACAGCAGTGGCCAGCCCTCAGGGTAAGACAGGGGACCTGTCCGCGGCAGAGCTGCGCAGGTGGCCAGCCGGCGCGGACTCGCGACGGTTTCAAGACTAGACTGGTTGAGACTGCTCGCGCCTGACCTGTGACCCGTGTGACCTGTGGCTGACCGACACCTGACCATGTGGTTACAACCGACCTGAGCCCCTGCTGGCTGCCGAGCGTCCCTCACCTTCTGGAGTTTCTGTAACAGAACACAGGTACAGTCATCAGCTCACCAAAGCCAGCCAAAATTGGTCAGAAGTTGGCTAGGCTGAATCACAGACCTCTGTCCACCTTCTACAGAGGTCTTTGGTTGAATTAAAATGAGGATAATTGTCCGCCAAACAAACACAATACATATTTGATGGGAAACATGGCAGAAAACCTGCATTACCTAAAAATGGTGGTGACGAAAATGCAAGCGATTACAGGTATTCGAATTCAGGCAGCAGCTTTGTATCTTAAGCTGAAAATAACACTTTTCAGGAGCTTTCACTGTCCAACAGATGGCTAACTGAACACAGAATCATCTAATCAACAAATGTTTGGAAACAAAATTCAAATCTGGCTAGTGAAAGTCTGGTCACCAATTGCTGACAGCAGTGCAAATAAATCAAAGAGAAAAGTTTGCTCAGAAATAGACTGAAATGAAACACAATGTGAGACCAAATTTCCTTTTGTCAACCATAGCCTATCTACATTCACATTATTATGTCATGAGCTCTCTCAAAAATGCAGTCTAAATGCATTATGGCCAAGAGGAATATTTCACCTAATATAATTCAGCAGCTTATCATTGCTTGGTTGAAACAAACACCCTAGCAAGACAAATTACCTACTTATAAGTTTGATTAAGAGCTGGGAGTCATTAATTGCCAACACACCAACAGTCAACTTGAAGCCAGATGATTTGGGGAATAAAAATATAGGTTGCATAATGTGAAATTACTTTGTCCAATTGTTAGAACAGGATGCAGGATTGGATATCATCCAAATTGAAATGAATTGTTGATTGAAGAAATTGATAACTTTACACTTGCCATGGAAAAAAACTTCTGAAGAACTAATGTCCATACAATTTCATCCAAAATGATACAAATTTATCAAAGGATGTGAAAATGTCTTGTTTTTCCAAAATGTAAAGATGCAACAGGTCTGGTCAAATACTGTTCAATAAAAATGGAAATCTTTGAAACTAGCAAGCTGGGCTGATAAATTTAACTGTACTCTTCATATCACAATAAATCAAGTGCACCTACATTTTACATTAATTCTACACAATGCTACTCTTGAAAGCAAAGGGATTTAACGATTTTTAAGTTCAAATTTATCAGTTTTGTTTATGGCACTATTTTGCATGGAACATCTCTGATCAATATTCCAAGGGTCTGTCATCCACACATATTATAGATCATTGTTAGTTTCTTGCAGGATGCTATGACATCATTGTTCCAAGAGACTTTAACACCAGATATGATCCAATAGGATCATAAACCCTATCTTGTCTACAGTTTGTTTTCAATAAAAGCACTAAGATCATGCATATACTTAGCACTAAGATGCATGCAAGTTGTCCTGAAAGTCTATGACAATCAATTGCAAGCTGGTATTATGCTAAAACCCCTAAAGAATTACTTTTAAGTAACTTTCTTATTTCCTGAGTAAATTTAATTCCACCTTTCTGAAAAAAAAAAACAGGAATAATCCACCAGATCTAGTAGTAAGTAAACCAATCTAATTAGGCTGCTTCCTTTGACCATATGTCCCTTTAAAAAATTAAAACCGTAAAACGCACCACATAATGCGCCCCAATCAAAAGCTGGGTCAGTGCATCAGAAATTAAGATCCAGAAATCAGTTAAATATTGACCATCAAAGATCTTGTGAAGCCTGGTCGTCACCACTGGCAAGCCACTGCGACTGCACCCAGTTTTGAAATGACAAAAATTTGATGAGTATTCAATTTGGATGATGTGGTCGGTAGCGGCGGAACACCTTCGATTAGGGAGGGGGCACTGCCGACTTTTGGTCCCATTCTTTCCATGCAACGCCCATAGGGCTAATGTTAAAATGCCAAAATCAAAGGGGGGCACGGTGCCCCGGTGCCCTCCCCGTTCCGCCGCCTATGGATGTGGTAGGAACAAAGTTACAAATATCAGGAATGGAGCAATGCATCATAGACTTCAAACCGACATAAATAAGTGCAGAAAAAGCAACTCCAGTGCGCCACTTTTGCACCAGTTACACGACCTTGAAATTAAAATGTTGCTACTGACCTTTTGGGAACACACACAGATATACAGCATTTCCCCATCCATTCTCTGGAGGACGAAGTTTTCCGTCCAACAGACGCACACCTCTCAAACTTCTTGTTTCAGACCGATATTTCAATCCACAAGCACCCGGGAACTGCGCCGCTAGTGTCGACAGCAGCAGCGTCCCATCTTCCTCAACGGGAATCTCAATGGGTTCCTCATTCTCTTCATCCGCCACTTGTATAAAACAACTCATTTTTCAATCACTAAATGAGGAAACCAAACAAATCTCACTCAAACACACACTCACACAAACACTATCACTACGTTACCACCACGCCATCCACCATCGCAATCTGCGCGCAATGCGACATGGCGCGGGAATATTTTCGCAGACGGTATCTGACAAAAGCTGAGAAAACAGAGAGTTCATGCTTAAAAGTCCCTATAAATTTTCTAAATCTCTCTAGAATGGAGCGGGCTACAAATTTATTTCGCAATGCCCTTTAGTCAAATATCAATGACCATCACCTATTTCTTGCTAACGCGAATCTAATGCCAGTACCTATAACACGGCAAAATTCGCACAAAATGTGCCCAGTCATCCTTGTTACACACTGCTCTCGCTGGCTATAGCTCTTTATAACTTACACATCGAATGTGATATTCAAGCACTTTTCATCTTTTCTTTTTCAATCTTTCATGCATGTTTACATGTCACATCAGGTCAGCTTGGGTCAACTAGTCCTTGTTAGATCACAATTTTCGTTTGGCGATTTGTTCCGGGTTAACCTCTTGGAAACAAATAATTAAAACACCCTCTTCAATGACTTTCACTGCAGTTTACCTATTCAGCCATCTTCGGCTGTAATGGCCACCCTCAGTGACTTTCACTGTCTTTAGCGAATAATTCACTCCCCAAAAAGATTATCTACCTGATTCCGCTTTGCAGCCTCTGCAGGACGGAGTCCTAAAACCTGTCTTATCATCGACCACTCTGCAACGGTGATCACTTTGCATCGATATTTGCCGAAGTTCTAAAGCCATAGATCCGACCTGGACCCTGTCATACGCTGTCTACACCGCAGTTCATGCTTCAAGTACGACGACCTCCTGGGAACAGCGGTCTATTAGATGGTGAGCAGGATTTTTCTCTACAAAGCAAATCATTTCAGCGCGTTCAAAAATCATCTATACCTACAGTTTTTGATTGCCGTCCTCCGCGTCTTTCCACAGTCACTTGGGAATTGGAGACGGAATGATAGAAGCGGTTGGGACATTTTAACTATGTACAGCTGAATTCAGGAGTGCCCCGTCAGGAGCAATGCATATGCAGGGCGCGACAAAAAGTTTCCGTAAGTGATATGTGAATTATTGTTGGTGAAGCAATCGAATCGGTTTCGCTCATGGGCTCCACCTACCACCTGAATTCCCGTGAATTCGGGAAATTAGTCGATTTTCACTGGATGACTACACGAAATTATTTAGACATGTACATCCATTCATCAAGTCCACAGGTAAGACTGACTGCATGTATTGTACTGGCAGCATGAAGTACGAATGATTTCAATTGCATTTTTCCACTGATGCTCAACACTAATGACAAGGTCCAAGGACGAGCTAAGGTTACATACTGGACGGGTCAGTAACTTTGTGTGAAGTAAACACACAATAAACACCACAAATTTACGACTCAGCATCGGCATCAGTAGTTGCTGTGTCATGTTCGGCAAGGCCACAGCGTAATGCCTTCAAATCACGCAGTCTGCACTAGTTTGAGATCCATTCGCATCAAGTTTGAGATCCATTTGCATCACAGTGCTCGTGTTTTGGGTTCCACCGTCGCCACTGTCGCACGTCTCGGTCAATCGCGCCTGACACAGACCCTCTGAGTCAGACGCCAGTGGCGGTCGGTATTCGTGATCGTATCTCTCGCACAATTCTGGCAGTGAGACCACGCTCTCGGCGGCCGCGGAGGTGAACGCTCTCCGCGGCCGGCGACGTCTAGCAGATGTTGACATAGTTGGCCTCCTTCTCCGTCTCCTGAAGGTGTTCCACGGCCTCGGAGTGGGCTCCCAGCTCCTCCAGCTCCTTTCTGTCCCGGAACACGCCTGGAACAGACCAGCGGCCGGGGTGAGACGGGGGTCACGGACAGAGCGTCTCGGCTGTTGGAGGTAGTGGGGTGCACCAGGAGAGGGGCTTTCAGTGCAGAGCGGTCAAGTGTCGCAGTTGAGGGATAGCGAGACTGAAGAATAGGTGCATGGTAGTTGGAGGGATGAACGATACACCAGTGGTATCTCTACCACAGCGATGGGTGCAATGACAGCACATGGTGGACGTAAACTGCGCGCAGCGCCACACGTAAAAGCGACGGGCCCTCGAAGCACCATTTGTACAACACATCGGTAGGTGGCAGCACGTCCTGCACCGTCACACGAGCCGGATAGGAGCTTCCCAAATCGAGGAGCCTGCCATTCAGTACCTACTGGGGTGAAATCCCAGTCACCATCACCGTTCCGTGCTTCTATCCTCAGGATACTGAAATCCTTCTCCCCAACGCCGCAACCCCCCTCCGGGCTGGACAGGCAACTTTATCTCATGTAGCCGGGTGCAGAGAGTGCTTGGGGGGCTGGTCGGCCTGTCCATTTGGACGGGCTCAGCCCCGGCGACTCTCTAGGGTGCCTGCCCAGACCAATGTCTCCCCCTAATTCCTATCATCCTTCCGGCTCTGGAATGGTCTTGTCAGACCGAAAGGGCCTAACCCAACAAAACAAAAACAAACAAACAGTGACCATAACAAAACCGCCTTCGCGATACAATCTAGGGCCCAGATTCGCAGGATCCAATCAAACAACGTTCGCTGTATAGATTTACCTGTGCAAAGACAATGCAACATTAGTATTTAGTGGTGCATGGATGTAAAATACTAAACCATCCGCCGTTCAGCACATAGAGACAAGCAATCAAACATCATTCGGAATGATATCAAATCTTCCTTGATCCACTCACACATACAAGAAGAATATGGCGGCTTCATGTTAACATTCACATCTTATCATACTAAACAAAATTAGACATATTTGGACCCGAACAAATATGAAATCCAAAGGAGACTTGTAATCGTGCTTGTGGGGAAATGGCGAACATCCCTGACTGCAGGGTGCGTTCGACCAGACACCAGCGCGGGAGCGGGCTAAGGTTTCGGTCATTAGCCTGACCTGAGCGGTCAACTTATCACATAGCACCTTAACCTCGAGTGATATCGACTTCGTCTCGTCACAAGCAATACCCTCGCTTTACGCAAAATTGTCTTCAGACGAAGTCGAATGACTAAGGGTTTAAACGACCCCTATCCGTAAGACGCTGTAAGGAGGAGAATACGGACAAGGGTTGGTCGCGGAAAACTTAACACGCTAGGCATCAAAACCGGTAAGTTCCAAAGAGTATGGTTCAATAGTATATGAGTGTGTTTTGAATAAAGTTTCAGGTGCCACTCATGTCTATCAGTTCTACTCGCTTCCTTTGCACATAACCGACCACCTTTGCTGTCCACTTATATAACATCTCTCATATATCAGAGTCACAAACCAGCCCAAGCTCGTCCATTACTATAAAATTAAATATATCATCGGATACCACCAGCGACCCTGGAAGGTCACCCAGACCACCGGCATACCAGCAACATCCCATCGACGAGCCTGGGCACATTGGCCACATCAGGGCCCATCCCAGCCACCCTGAGCGTGCCCGAATGCCTTGCACACTCCGCGGCCACCGCTATGGGCAGACTTGGTATCTATTCAGACTCAGTCGGCTGTGCGCAGTTCAGCGGCAAGGGCATGTCGTGGTGGACAGGGCACCGTCCTAGCTGCTGACCTCAACACTAAAACGTCCCGCGGTGGCGGTCAGGAATGGCAAAACAGCCATACGGCCGGCGTGCCACCAATGCGCCGCATCTGTGGTATCACAAACATGCACTGAAACAGTTGTGAGGAGTTTGTGGAGGCATGAGAGCGAGGTGGCGACGGCGGACAGCGGGTACGTCTTTGGAGAACGGGTTTAGATCCTGACCAGTTGCGACAGTACCGATGAACTGCAAAGCTTGTCTGATTGTAAGTGGCATCGACAAGGAGCGTGGTGGGTTTACATCGAAGAGCTGTGTACCTCTACACAGCACCACACCGTGCTTGTGTGTGCTTTTTTGCTCTTACTTCTACACTAATATCGCAGAGACATCTCTGTCTGATCATTGGGACATCGGACGCGTCACTCACGTGGGTCAATAAACGTCAATCAAGGGAAGATGTCAAATTTCCAGTGCTTAAAATCAGGATGTGGGATTACCCACCACCGTAAAATTGCCGTAGAGGCTCAATATAGTCAGCTAATATCGATAGCCAGGGTATCCCGAATCTTCAGTATTTCATCTGCAAGATAAGCATCAATGTCAATTGTTGCACAAGTGTACACCAAACCTTTCCCGGAAAATGACGTCATAATGCCGTTACGTAATATTTACGTCATCTCTGCAGTGTAGTAAATGCATTCCACACTGTCGATATAATCCTCATTGAGACTGTCATTATTTTCCGATTCGTCATCTGGTCAATATGCAGGCACGCTTCACTTGTTAGCGGTGGAGCCTAAAAAAGCTCGCTATCCCAACTTTGGACAGCCTTGATTCCATCATCAGATGAAAACATCTGCAAGATTGGATGTTGTCGTGTACTGGCACTAGTACGGGAATTAATCCGCAAACCAAATGAGAGCTAAGTGGTCGGTGGTCTGCCATTTATGTGAGCAGCGGAATTCGGTGGCATGCTTCACATGTCGAAGCCGGTAAGCAGAGTCGAAGCTTCACAGAGAAACCGCTGTGACCTGAGCGCTGAATGTAAATGCACAAATGATCATCAGATACAACACTGGCTTTAATCCGCAGCTTCAATCCAAGCGTCCCTCCCCGGTTGTCAGGAAGCCAGCCGACGCCCGCCCGTGCTGATGCATGAGGAGGCGTCCATTGGATTGTTTTAGCCTGCCGGAAACAGTGCAAAGGCCAAAGTCCAAGCAAGCACTGCTTCCTGCTGCCTTTAGAGGCTTGAGAGGAAGACACGCCTAGCGCATCGTACTCAACGGCCGTGAACTACCTAAACGGGACTGACGCCGGCGCAAACGGCGCAGCGTTGCGGCCAAAGCGGCGCACGAACCACAGACGGCGCGGCGGCGAGCTCGGCGGATTATCTTCAAAAGTGTGTGACACGCACAATACCTTCAGAGTGGAAAGAGATACGCGTATTGAGCTATATTGAGGTGGTGTTGGAAATGACCTTATCGAGCATGGCACGAAAATCCAATAAACGCGAAATATTCTGCTGTAGCTAGATGA